GGTTAAAACAATCAGAAGGAAAAAAGCCCAAGAAAAGGCACAAGAAGCAGGTATAGAAACAGAGACCCTCTGTTCACACACTCAGGAACTTCATGAAAACACTGAACTAGAAGCCATAATATATCCACAAAGGTGTGGATGGATTGACTTTTCATTCTTCTTGTCCCTACTTATCCTTCTAGATTATGGTGCTATTTAAACATTAACTCATGTTTGTAAATAAAATTAATGTGTGGTATTTTACACAAGAATTTCAAAGTGTGCTAAAATTAGACGTGGCTGTTTTGTACATGAGAGATGCTGTGAAATGATATAGAGTTTAACACATTGAAAATATTAAGAGCACTTACTGGTGCTTGAAATAAAATGCTTTCCCATCACAAAAAGAGGAAAATGAAAACTAGTTTTTCTCACAAGCATGACTGTCTAAAGAACAAATTAAATACCCGTTTTTTTTTTAAATCTCCATTTCCTGCCTCAAGCTATTTATTTCTAGCAAGTGCTGTGCAATCAAGTTCTTCTCTTTTGCATTCGAGTTTAAATTGGACCTAGTCCATAAACGTGGTTTGGCAGTTAAGAGAGCTGCCTGCTCTTGCAGAGGACCTGGGTTCAGTTTTCAGCACCCCCATGGTGACTCACGACTGTTTGTACCCCTAGTTCTGGAGGACCTGATGAGTCTTTGGAACCCTGAGGGCTCCTGCTTACACTAATCTGAGTACATATATGCAGGTACACACACATAAAATGAAATTCATACACACAGAAGGATGAAGGACGGGAAGAAGGCATCCTTTCCTCAATAGCCCCTGCACACCTCTGGCTCCTGCTTGCTTTCCAGACACCTCCAGCCTCTCGTGCTCGACTGTGCAACAGGATTTGGTTTCCTGGGCTCTAGCGGCAGCAGTTAAAGTTGCTTAGTTTCTTATATATTCACTCACCCTTTCCCTTCTGAAGGATGCTCCTAGTAAAAGCCTTCCTAGCTTCTTATGCTCCCATCATTTTAAGGGTTCTTGTGATATTTCTCAGTCGGTGTAGGCATTTATAATATAAAGAAATGTAAGCTTATAGGGAACACGGGCAGAAATATATCACAAAAACTATCGTATCACTGCATGGAAATACAAGTGCAGATGTTTGTGTAAGTGGACCCTAGGTCCCTGGAGATTAGGGTCAATCTCCGCCTTTCCTTTTCTAGCCTTGCTCCTTACATCAGTCCTCAGAACCAGCCACTTCCTGAATTTAGCATGCCTCTGTTGCTTAAAAGGTATTATCTGCATGGTTTAAAATTTATACAGGGTAATTTCAATTAAAAGTTAAGTTTCAAATCTATGTTCGGTACATTTTAGGCGAGGGAGTTAGACTGGGCCTTGCTAGGCAGCCGAGAAGGCCTGTAACTCACTGTGCAGCCTGGATGACCCTGTAACTTACAACCTCCTCACCTCGTTACCCAGTGCAGTGTGGGAACCGTTCATACACACGGCACTGTGTATTTGGAGAAAATGGAAAAGCTACCCACAGTTTGAAGCTCCTCTATGCCAAGTAAGCAATGCGTCGAATTGAATTTGCCCATTTATGTTTCTACTGCCTGCTGAATAGACAGGTAGAGGGGCACGTGTTTGACCAAGATACCCTCAATCATTTGTCTTATGCTTTCTTAGGTTTCATTAAAATTTAATAAAAAAAAGTCTAAGATAAAACTCCATTTATTAAATGGAAGGAACTAAGAATTAAGGGATGTTTGTGCAGAGTTGTTTGATTCTCCCACCTGACAGTCTGTGGGCTCCTGTCGCACCACCTCTATCCGAGCAAACTACACACCTTGCCTTTTGGAACTGTGAATCAAAACTACGTTGAAACTGGGCAAACTGGTTTGTACCTGAAATACCAGGATCTGGAGGCCGAGACAGGAGGATTACTGTAAATTTGAAGCTATCCCAGGCCATGTAGTGAGAACCTGTCTCAAACCACCCAGAACAAATCAGACACATCACCAAATTAATTCCATTTCACCGGTTAGAAAGGCTACCATAAAGAAATCAAACAATCTACGCTATTGACGGTGTATGGAGAGGAAGGAATCCTTATGCAGTGTTGCTAAGAATATAAATCAGTGTGGCCAAAATGGAAATCAGTATGAAAGTTTCTCACAAAAAAAAAAAAATGTAGAACTTCAATAGGGGCAAGCTCCCCATCAATTGAGCTATATCCTTTATAGTCCTTCGATTCCCACCCTTGGCCTAGTTTAGATATGTTCTGTGTTTGTGGCTGAAGATGGAACTTTGAATCTCTTTTTAATTCCTTATTTCTCAGTTCTAGTTTGTTACATGTCTCCCCCCACCTTTAATAAGAGTGCGAAGAAAACTCCACCAGAGTCTTTGAGCAATGCCTCTCCCATCAAAGAGCACACAACATTTTTTTCAGATTCTGCAGAAATACGGGTTTTGCAAAAAAGTAGGTGTCTCATCCCAAACACATAGTCTTTCCATTTATCCCCAAAGGGAACTAACCACCGTCACTCCTAGAAAATGAATCATGATAGAGACACCTCTGTTAAGACAGTATCTAAGGTACTTGATTGTGACCTTCACGTTCACAACCACACAGACTTTGCAGAGTGGCGTCGATGTGTCCCACGCTTGGGATGGGAACATGAAACATGGGGCAACTTTGCTTTCCTGGTCACCAGCATTGTCTCTTTATCACCAAAATATCCTCCCATTTAAGGTGAAGGTCGGAGCAGGGAATGCGGTGTCTCACAGCGAGCTCCTCTCTGAATTGAAGTGTCTGCAGTGGGCACATCTGGCGATGAGGTCGTCTCATAATGAGCGCCTCTTCCACATCACCAGGTGTGTCCACTGTGGACGCTGCCATACGATGCTCATCCTTTCCCTACAGTGCCATCTGCTGCCACCTTCTCACATTGCAGTCTTCCCTGAGAGATCTTGCCCGAGGAAATGAAGGGAAAGCTGAGCCCTCTGTGGAAATACACTAAAGGACGGGTTCGGAAATCTTCTGCATCCAGTCTTACCTAATAGGATGCACACTGAGCGGCATGGGGGGGCATCAGGGGGAAATTGAGCAGAACAAAACTTAAATGCCAGGCACAGTGGTGCACACCTATGGTCTCAGTTACTCAAAATTGAGGCAGGAGGATCACTTGAACCTAGGAGTTCAAAACCAGTTTCTTAGACTACTCAAAAATGGTGGCTCCTGCCTGCAATCCCTACACCCAGGAGACTAAAGCAGGAGGAGAGTAAATTTAGAGCCAGAGGGGATACCCAAGCAAGTTATAGGCTATCTTGGACTAAATAGTGAGACCCTGTCTCAAAAACAAAACAAAACAAAAACCTCTATATAGATGGATAGATCATTGATAAATGACAGAAGATATAGACTAGATTAAGTAATTAATTAGATTAAGTAAGTAGATTATCAGTGATAGAAAGTAAATGATGGAACATGAATAGTAACTAAAAGATAGATGATAGATAGATAGATAGATAGATAGATAGATAGATAGATAGATAGATAGATAGATGGATGGATGGATGGATGGATGGATGGATGGATGGATAGATAGATAGGTGGATAGATAGATAGATAGATAGATAGATAGATAGATAGATAGATAGATAGATGGATAAAAGATTAGCAGATGTTAGATAAGGACTAGTGAAGTCCAGTTTTACACTGTGTGGTCATAAACCTTTCTGTTACTCATATCTGAACTTACTGTAGGCATGTAGATGTCTAAGAAGACGATATTCCAGGCCTATGTTCAGGAAATGCTGAAATCCAGAAGATTGGTCAGGCTGTAAGAACGTCACATGTAAAATGGGGAAGTGGAGGCACACATCCCATCTCTGGAGTCCTTGGAAGGGCAGAGTCAGGACACTGAGGGTGACACAGTGGTGAGAACTGAGGTGGAGGTGGTGACTAGGAAATGACACTTCATGGTGGCCCCAGAGAGAACCCCAGCTTTACCCTAAATGATAGAGCAGGTCACGGTGCAGGTTTGAACAGAGGAATGCCGGAACCACACTTAGACTTGGAAAGGAGGTGTGACGGAGGTGAGAAAACCAGAGAGCTTGCGCAGAAGCAGAAGGAAGAGATTCCAGACTCTGCTGTCTGTGAAGAGAGAGAAGAAAGTATCAGAGGATAGATCACATACTGACTGAGAGGAGAGCCGCAAAGAATGGCTCAAGGAGCCAGGCCTGGAAGGAGGAAGGTGGAGAAGGAGGGTCAGGATTTCAAGGTCATCCTCAGCTACAGATAAAGTTTGTGGTCAACCTGTGCTCTGTGAAACCCTGCCTCAAAAACCCAAAAGGCAAGAAGCAAAACAAAACAGCCGTGTGTGGTTATGTCTGGCGAGGTATGGTGGGATATGGCTGTAAACCCCGCACTCTGGAGTTAGAACAGGAACACCTTGAGTCTGAGGCCAGAATAAACCACAGATCCCATGCCAAAAAATGCTGAAAGGAAAAAAGGAAAGAAGAGAAGAGAAGATTCCAGGATCATAGAAGATGGTTAGCTCACACCAGGAAGAGCGTCTGTAATGGCAAGCTTCCTCAAGTAACACCCTTAAAAGGGTAGGCAGGAACAACTAGCAGACGATTGGTGGTCTGGGAGAGGGGGAGACAGTTTTCTGCGATTGTTACAGTCCCTGGAAAGTAGCCCATACTCCAGCGGAATATACAGGCAGTACAAATTGGTCTCAATAGGCACAAAAAGGGCAAAATGTTGGACGGGTAGGAGGAGGAGATATTTGGGAAGAATCAGGGGGCAAGAGTGGATATGATCAAAACGCATTATTCAAACGTCTCAAAAATAAATTCTTAAAAAGTGAATAAGACCATCAAACATAAGCCTCTTGGACTGTAGGAATGGTCTAGTTAGGGCAAGAGATCACTCATCGAAGGTTCTAAATGGAGAAAATACGAATCTAAACTGAGATGTGGGAACACATCTAAACTGAGTATGTCGCCAAGAGGATCCCAAGCTTAACGGAAGCCACCAAGGAGAGCATCATCGCCAGTCTCATCCACCAAGGTGCAGAGACACCTAGAGTGTGATGGCAGGGGGCCAGATTACACCAAGTGTTGGCCACAGACCTAGGCAAGCACTGTTCATATGGTATGGGATGTTCAGATTGCATAATGCAAGAATAAGGGTGGGATGTAGGTTTTCACCAAGATTTCAGAGAGTCCATGAACGGATATTGTATGGCTGGGTAGGATTCCCTGGGAAGAGGAGGCTCATGAGCAGTCACTGCACAAAGCTGTGAAGGGAAAACCGATATTGTAATCTTTACCCTGGGAGTGTTTTTGCCATTGTTTGCATAGGAGTACTGAATGGATACCACATATTTTGGTATGCTTCCTTTATTTTACACTAAAATTAAATACCTGAAGAAATCAAAGAGAAAATATTAGAGATGTGTTATGAAGGAGCAGAGGGGCTGAAACATGATTTGCTTAGGACAGAACTTGACAGAATGGAGGGCAGAGTTAAAAGAAAATAGAGAAGACCAGAGGTTGAACTGGGCCAGACAATGGACACGGACAGGGGCCTTCTGTGGATTTTCAAATTTTATCCATATAGAAATCTTCCACTAGACAGCAATCTGCACGCTGAATTAGACATTCTTTATAGCAAAACAGCAACTGGTATATCATATGAGCCGCATATTGAGATGTCAGCACAGTGGGGACTTGGATTAGCAGAAGGTGGTCCTAGTAAAACAGGCCATGTAATCATTTGAGTGGAGGTCAACTAAAACTGAAAAAAATTAAGATAGTCTCACAATATTTATTGTGTTTCATTCTATTAAAGGTGAATGAGCAGGGTGGCACTTGGGAGGCAGAGGCAGGCAAATTTCTGTGAGTTCAGTGCAGTCTGGGCTATAAGAGCTAATTCCAGGACAGGCTCCAAAGCTACAGAGAAACCCCATTTTGACAGAAGAAGAAGGAGGAGGAGGAGGAGGAGGAGGAGGAGGAGGAGGAGGAGGAGGAAAATAAGAAAAAGAAAAGAAGAAGAAGAAGAAGAGGAGGAGGAGGAGGAGGAGGAGGAGGAGGAGGAGGAGGAGGAGGTAATAGCATCACCTAGGATGAACATTCTGGAGCTTTAGCCCAAGTAGAAAACCCTACTTGGGGTCCATGGGTCCATGCTCTCTGAGCTGAGGGTCTCAGGAGTCTGGGTTTGATCCAAGTGATGGCATGGGCAGGATGGATGCAGGTTACCAGGGAGGAAATTGAGTGAACCTGAGGAGATGCTTGTGGCTCTCCTGGGGCACTTTCTGAGTTACTGGGCAGGCCTGTGCGACTCAGCCCTCAGTAGCCAACTGTAGTCACACACTGCAAACTCTATTCTGGCCCCTGCTCTAGTCAGAAAGGCAGGCAGACTATGGACAGTGTCACTGCGCTGTCACCCAGGCTGAGGTAAGAGGTGCTGGGGGTCTCCCCATCCTCAGCCTACATCAAGGTGAGTAGGGGCTCCTGGGATAGGTGTTCTCTATGCCTGGTCCTGGAAATGCAGGTCGAGATTGTCCCCTTTGAAGTGGGGGCTGAAACAATTTGTGACAGGTGACATGTGACATGTGAAGGGTCTTGACTCCCTGGGGGTCTCTGCACACCAACCTGCACAGTGACGCAAATGTCAAGGTGGAGCAAACTAAGGAAAAGACGATGAGCCACAGACCTGGGTGCGGTCTTCACAGGGTTGGCTAACCCTAAAAATTCCCTAGACTGTTGCCTCTGTAATGATGGAATGATAACTGCACAGGGATGGGACTGGATGAGGACACCTCACAGTGACCATGACTTCCCCACGGGCCCCATTCTTTCCAGAGACTGCACTGTGACAGACGGGATGCTGACCTTCCCCTCCCCATCCCTGCACTAAAGGGAACCAGCATAAACTGGGAAGTGGCTCTGTCTCTCAGGAGCCATCAGCAATGAGTATGAGCGTCAGTAGGAAGAAGGTTTGCTTTGCCAGAAAAAATAAGTTAAAATGACATTTATTACCAGGAAACCACAGGGGAAACAATGGCTGGGCAGATGGGGCATCTTATGGAGTATTTCATGATGCGCAAAGACCATGGTGGCCTGAGGCACCTGCTCCTAGACCTACGCTGGTAAGGTCTGTTTGGGGTGACTGCTCCTTGTCTCCAGTTCCCCTGTATGTGACTGGATGGTTGTTCTCTCTGGGACTGGTGAGGGGCCCACAGCCCATTCCTTTCTTTGTACTTTGGTGTGGGTCACAGGCTCTCTGGACAACACCTGATGCTGGCGGTTTGTCTCCAACATCTCTGTGCATAAACACATGGTTGTGTCCTTGGGGCTGGTTTGTGGACTGCAGTGCATGCCACTCTTCTGAGTCATAGGTTCTCGGGGCACCAGCACCTAACTGCTGCCTGTCTCCAGTTTCCCCGTGCCTACATGGATGGTTGTTTCCCTTGGGAGAGGGGAGTTGCTCACAGCCCATCTCTCTCTTCACGCTGTTCTGATGTGGAACACAGGTTTCCTGGGTAGCAATACCTGACTGATGTTTGTCCCCGATCACCTTCTTCCTGAATGTGTGGCTCTGAGCCATGGGGCTGGTATGGGGACCAGAGTTTATTTTCTCTGGTCTGCTTATTTTCTTTGGTTCATAGATGCCTTCAGGAAAATGAAAAAAAGAGTCTCTCAGCTGGGGTATCAGTGGTTCCGCTTTACACCATTGTGCCTCTGATGGGTGCCCTACCTTAAGGCCCAGCCAGTTCACCAGGAGCTGTACGACAATGTTCATGAGAGACTGCACTTCAGTTGCCATGCTGTAGATGAGCTTTTTCTGGGTCATCTGAGATGATGGCTGGGAGCTTTCTTTCTTCAGAGAATCCTCCTGCTCCTGGTCTTTTGTGCTGAGGCTTATGTATTGCATAATATTTCTTATGATCTTTATCAGATAACTTTCTTGAGGGGTCTGTTCTATTCCTGGCATATCAAGAGAGGGCTCAGTCTTGGTTGTGGCTGTATCCTTGAACCAGGTGGAGCTCGGAGTAGAGGGGGTCCCTCTCCCTGGCTGTTCCTCCTGGCTTAAGGCTCTGGATCTCATAAATTCCTTCCTCTCTTCGTTGGGATGAAATACCTTGTGATTCTTTGCTTGAATTTTATCCTTGGGAACTCTGAAGTCCTGGGTCCTCGGGCTGTGATCCCTCCTCACGAAGACATGACCCAGGCTCTGGGAAGTCTTGGGTTTTTTGGTTCTATTCTGGAAGCTGGGAAACGGGTGCTCTGAAGGCAGGCTCACTGAACTGGAGCTGTCTGGACAATGGCCCACAGACCAGGACTGTGGTTGCTTGCTTGATCTGAAGTCAGTCTCACTATATACTTGTGTTTTTAGAGCTGAGTCTCCTGAGTGCCTTGGAGTGGGTGTTTGGAAATGGCCTGGACTTCTATTGGCCTCTGGAGACTCAAAGTCCCTGAGATGGATATTGGTGACTTGACCACAGGGAATCTCCGTGGATCCCAGACTCACTCTCCATGCAGGAGGGGTCCCTTCTTTCTCCTTCGACCTGTTGATTTGTTTGACCACTGAAGGTGGGATCCTTTCTTGAGGGCCCCGCATTTTCCCACTCCAGCAGGAATGTCCTGAGACCATGTTCTCAAACTTCATCCATGCTGCAGGTTTGTAAATTCTTGGGCTGGTCCTTGGTTGCAGGCTGCTTCTTCCAATCCCTCGGACAGTCCTGCTCTGCTGGGTTCTTGTCTGGAAGCAGAAAGCCTGGGTCTTAGTGCTCAGGTAGCTCTTCTGTGTATGTGGAAGGGCCTTGGATGGCCCATGGCTGGCAGCTGGTGGAGGGGCTCTCTGTATCACCTGAACCTGTGAAGGTGAGTGTGCAAGCAGAGAACTCCGCAGCCTGGCAGTTGACACAGTTTCTACCTTTGTCCCTCCTGGATCTTGGTGATGCAATTTTTCTAAGATCATGGCAGCCTTGGAATAGTATTCAGCCTTAGAAACAGAGGTGGGTGAAGAGGGATACACAGGCTGGGGAAGGGATGAGGCTGGAACCCCTGGTGTTGTGAGATCCCCTGACTCAAGAGTCTGTAGATATGGTCTCCTCCTACCTTTCATAGGAAGCTGCGTGATGTTTGATTCCAGCTTCATTTGAGTCTTTGGGTCGAGAAAGGAAAGATCCCGAACGGTGTTCACATAGGACTGCTGATCTGTCCTCAGTGCAGGCTTTCTGGGTTCCAGGCCTTTCCCAGGGCTGCTGCTTGATGTGCAAGGCAAGTCATTGGCCCTTAAACCGGGGCCCTTCTTGATGGGGTCGTGCATGTCACATGCTTCTGACTTCTTTAAGGGTGTCGCCGAGGACACAGACCCTATCATCTGGCTTAGCTTGCAGCTTTTGTAGTCGAGGATGGAGGGCTGGGCAGGCTTTGGGAGTCCAGGCTTGTTCTTGGGCTGGCAATGACTGTTGGCTGGGAAATGTCCCCACAGCTGTGTCAGTTCCGGAGATGAGAGGACTGTGAAGGGGGAGCCTCGTATTTCTCTCACCTCAGTCACCTTGTCTTCACTCTGTGTTTCCTCATGGTGCTGGAGGAACTGACAATGCTCAGGAAGGATGGAGGCTGACCTGACAGGTTCAGCGGGCAGGGTGCCCCTGGCCAAGTTGTGAATGGGCCAGCTAATGCCTGCTTGCTGTTTTGGGGCACTAGAGTCTAAAGTGTCTTTCCACTCCAGATCCTGGTTTTCAATTGGTAGGGATACCAGTATCTTTGTCTCACTGGTAGAATAATCTTTTACACAGACCCTACTTCTACTTCGATTTAGTGTAGAGCTTGGGAGGCTGCCCAGTGTCTGGGCTTCTTTCACACATGTCAAGCTTGGTGTCACGGGTTGGTGGGGCAAGGGCTGGGCCTGAGGAATCTGTGGAGGTTCTTGAGTCATGGGAAGAGCTGGGAAAGGACCACATGCATCGCTGAACCTCACGGTTTTAGGTCCTGCAGAGGAAGATCTCTTGGAGACCCAGGCAGAAGCCACCACTGACTCAGAGAGCACGGAGGGCATGCCCCAGAAAACCTGACTACATTTTCTCTGTATAAGATCCTCCAAGACCTTGAGGTAGGACAGCAGCTGAGAGAAGAGAAGCTGATCCAGTTTCTCATTAGAGTTCCAAATGGGGAGTGATGTGGAGTCCAATAAAGGTTGCTTGATGGGGCTGCAGAAGTTAGGAGGCAAAACCATCAGTCCCGAGCAGATGGTCAAGCTGCCCATCAGTCTGTATAAATATGACACCTGCATCCCATAGTTGCTCCACAGCCTCCACCTCCCATATCCTTTATTATCTCATCCAACAGGATAAGCTATAGAGCCCAACTCCACCCTATACCGTATCTCCAGTACAATGATCCCTAGACCCTGAGCTTGCATCCTGGTTGGTATAAATTATTTCATAAGAGGTAGATTTCTTACGTTTCCACAGGTCGTGATGCGTTCTGGGTCTCTTCCACATTCTTTCTGCCATCTCTGCCACCTAGAAGTGGTTATACAGGATGAAGGTGAGGACCGAGATCTCACAGGAGAGTGCGGCACCCCTCTTAGAGACCTCCCATGCTAGGACTCTACTGCCCAACCTCCAGAGTCCAAGCACAGAGAACACTGAGAATGAGCAAGTGGCACGGAGGGACCACATCTCTTCATTTACACTTTCCTTGCTCTTTCTCAGCCCCTGCCATTCCCCATATGACACTGTGAGGACACGGGATCGGTCATCTGAAAGAGGAGTGGGCCTGAGGGAATCGCAGCTACCTGCTCTCAGGAGGACCTGAGAGCCCCCCCTACATGGACACAGCATCACAGCTGCCTTGAACCACACCCCTCACCCCTGGTCCATGGGCAGCACCCACTCCAGGCCAAGCTTCCTTCTTTCACAGGACCTGGGGAGTTTTCCTGATTCTGATTTCCTTCCCAGAAGCCTCCTCTTCTCAGTGCTCGGCATCCTGTATCTCAGAAGCGTGGCTCTCATGGTCTCATCACTGAGGACAGGGCAGAAGGAATTGCCTCTCCAGAGGGAAACAGAAGCCTACCTTTTGCAGAAACGTTTTTCTTCCTTGCCCTGCTCTGCCCCCTCCTCACCACCTGACAGTGAGAAAGGACAGAAATGAGCCGGGCCCATTCTTCCTCTCTCTCGTGTGGACAAGCTGCCTGCCCCCTGTGCTGGTGGAGAACACAAAATCCACATTTCCCGGAGAGCTTTCTCTCATCCAACCTTGACTCAGTTGTTCTATGCACAAACACATTTCCCCTTGGCGTTGTTGGAAAACACAAGAAGGGGCTGTCTATGCCACCCTTACATGGATGTCCTCAGTCAGTGTTCCTCAGATAGGATCCTACCCAGGGGTTAGCTGCTGCTGCCTCTAGGCTGTTGGGTAAGGTCTGCTTCCCCAGACCTGAGGTGACTTAAACCCTGGTCTGAGGCCCTTGGTCTCATCATCCCCTCCACATTAGCCACACAAAACATGGGCTTGAACAGAGGACAGAGGACTTCTTTCTCAGAGCCTGTGCTGTCCCTAAGGTCCCCTCCATCTCAGAAATGCAGTCTGCCCACGGGGCCAGTCTTCCTTCGTGGCCTCTCAGCCACGCCACACAGAGGGTCTGAGAGCTTCAGGCGCACACCTCAAGGCCACTCTCCCCTGCGCCCTACTTTCCAGCCCCTACAGATGAGGTGCTGTTTCTGGAGAGTTCCTCTCAGCTGTCTCTCTGCTTGACTAGGAAAAGGGGAAGTAACAGTAGTGAGCAACAGACTGAACACACTCCATTGTGTTTCAACCAAGGCTTTCCTCACCTTTGGGGGGTTCTTTCTGCTCCCAGGTGGTGGTGATGCTAGGTACTTCTTCAGGAAGGGGATCAGGAGCAAGAAGAGCCCTGCTCCACACATAACAGCAAAGATCATGTCCTTGGCCATGACAATGGAGCTGAGGCTCATCCAGTAGTCACTAATGCTGCTCAGCTGAAAGAGAGAATTCTCCATCTTCTGAATCGCACAGCTGCTCTCAAGCCACTGAGTCCTGGGAGTCCAGCAGGAGGCTTGTCAGGCCATCTCATCACACAGCTGTGGCCTCCTCATCACAAAGGGCTCCTGGCAGGAGGGAGGGAGCCACAGTCCCTCCCCAGCCTCAAGCCCAGCAGACCCTCCTGCCTCCTGGTTTCCCTGCTCCCTCCTTCCAAGCCCTCCTGCTGAAACAGTCTGAGACAGACCTTCCTCCATGTTTGGTTCCTTGCCCCTGAGCCCTAGAATTTCTCTGTCTCCTGGAAGATGCCTGCTTGAATCCATCAGGTTCACAGTTTTTGAGAGATTGGGCTTCTCTGTGGATCTTGAGTTGTGTCTTATGGATTATTGCTCTCAGGGTGTCTTCTCTGCATATCCATGTCTGTTCATTATGAGGTCATTCCTTGCCTCAAGTCAGACATGGAACTTCCTTTTGTCTCACACTTATTTAGCATTGCCAATTTGCAATAAAACTGAAAAGAATATAATTTTAATTTACTAATAGAATTAAAATTACTAATACATTAATAGAATGTCACTGCTAACAGAAATTCAGTGCTCTATCATAAGAATGCATGTGGCTAATTCATTAAGGTCTTTTTTGCACCTAGTTGTCTTGCAATTGGGAGTATTGCTACAGTCAGCATGGATGTGTGGGCATCTCTTTGGCCGGATGTGGACAGCATCCTCGGAGTCTATGCTCAGGAATGACAGACCTGGGCCTATGGCAGTTCTGTTTTTAGGAACCTCTATGCTGTTTCCATCATGCTGCTCCATTTACACACCCAATAGCAGTTGCTGAGGGTCTATTCCCCACACCCTTGACAGAGTTTCTCACCTGTTGTCTGACCTCAGACATTGTGGTTTAGATGAGATGGAATCTCAAAGTGGCCTTAACTTGAACTTACTTGAAGGACAAGGATGTTGAAGACTTTGTAAAATATTTATTGACCTTTGTGTGTTAACTTTAGAGAACTGTTCAGTTCATTAGTCCATTTATTGACCTTTTTTTGTTTTTTAATATTTGAAATTCTTTGTACATTCTAGATGTTAATGCCCCATAGGAAGCATGACCAGTAATGATCTTGCCATACTCTGGGCTGTCTGTTCCTTCTAGTAATAGCATCTTTTGCTGCACAGAAGCTTTTTAATTTCATGTTATCTCGTTTGTCAATTTATAGGGTTTCTCCCTGTGCCATTGGTATGCTATTCAGACATGTCTCATCTGTGCCTGTGTGTGAAGTGTTTACCTTTCTCTCTCTCCAACAGCTTCAGCACTACAGGGTTTAAATTAAAATTTTCTGTATATTTTGAACTGATTTTTTTGAACAGGGTGAGATATGCAGATTTATTTAAAATCTTCTGTTGAAATATGAGCGGCGGCAGGGCTGCGTCCCCAACACCCCGGCTGCTTGGCTAGCTCATGCCCGAAATAACAACACACAAACTGTATTCATTTAAGAACTGCTTGGCCCATGAACTCTATCCCTTACAGGCTAATTCTCGCACCTGAACTAGCCCTTTTCTAATGATGTGTGTACGCACCCCAAGGTGCGCTTACCGGGAAGAGTCTAGCCTCCATCCATCCTGGTGTCTCTGCTCCAGAGAGCAGAGCTGTTGGGTCTCTCCGGGAGCAGAGCAGAGTCTGACCTTACTTCCTCTTCCGCCCAGCATTCTATTCTGTTTACTTCTCCCTCCAATGCTTTAACCTATGAGGCCAAGCAGTGTGTTTATTACTTAACCAATGAAATCAACAGATTGATATATGACACTCCCACATCAATCTTCTTTAGGTGGATGTCCTGTTGTGCCAGCACCATTTATTGCATTTATTATTATTTATTTATTCCAATAAATAACCACTTATTCCAAGTCTCCTTTTCCATTGTGTGTATATACCCCACTGTATATCTGGCTCCTTTTCCATTGTGTGTATACCCCCACTGTATACCTGGCTAAAAGACAATGAAGAATAAAGGTCATGGAGTCATTTTTTCCTAATCTTTTCCTTAGAACATGCTGGCATTTGCACAAAAAGTCTTGTCTGTCTCCAGGGCAACACAGATCCCGCCTCTGGAGAAGGTGGAACTTTCTGTCAGCTTCTCCTTGGCTCTTCCTCTTGCATGCACTTGACCACATCCTGCAGACTCTTTGCCCTGACAACCTGCAGTGGTGGTGGAGAGGGACTTTCCAGGTCCTTTATTGGGGCACCTAGCACATCAGTTCCTGAGGTTCTAGAAGAAGGGATGAAATGCCAGTCAGCGTCAGTCAGCGTGGGACAAGCTGTGGAGGATGATGATCAAATGAATACCAGTACCGCTCTGTTCTCTCCTCAGTAAGATCTTGGGGTTTGCAGCAGGGCATTGTGGGAGAAAGCTGTGGTGGGGGCTGACAATTGAACATATCCCCACCAGTCGGCCCTGTTTGCATTTTCACAGTGCAGGTCACCCCGTGCATCTCTGTCCTCACAGATGCTCCAGAAAGTCTGCCTGAGCAGATTAAGAGAGCCTCAGTAGAGCCTTGAGAAGTGAGCACACCTCTGTGCCTGGCCGTTGGGCTGGACCACTGTTCTAGGTCACTGCTAACTTGGAGACTGTTTGGATACTGCCATCTGGTGGTGGTGGTGGGGCAGCCTCCAGACGGCACAGCGCTTTGAACGTAATCCAATGGTGTCAGCATAAGCTAAACTTTTCTGAGGGGGATTTTAGGAAAGGAAGCACTCAGACATTCTCTGGATGGCTTCCTTCTTTATTCTTCCTCTTTTCTCATGCTCTTTCTATGTTCTTTCTCTGTTTTTTTTCTTTCTGCTGTATATTTTTTTCTATAGCTTTATATCCCAATAAAATTTTTCAGACAATATAAGAATTACAATGCCGTTACATTCTCTTTTTCAAGTGAATGATTATAATGAATACAGGTAAAAACCTGTTTTCCATCTTCCTAACATGATTAAACATTTTACATTATAGGTGAAAAACAAATTATCCCCAAAATCCACATACATTCATACCCAAGCAACCTGTGGGCAAGCAGGCTGTTCTTGTCAGGTCTTCTACTGGCAGGCTGCACTTTGCAGTTACAAAGAAAGGGCCACTTACTTTAGTACTTATATTGAAAGGTAATCTTATAAGGAGTCTTAATGGAACCACAAACTTAAACTTTTGTATATGAAAAAGAATCAGTCAGCTCTTGTTATGGGAGGCCACTAGTTAGTTCCCAGCTGCTCAGCCTCCCGAAATAATCACACAGAAACAAGAGTACTGAGTTCAGGAAGGCCAGAGACTCCACGCATTGTGACACGAGCTAGCTGATCCATCCCTGGTGGACAAGATCACCTGAGCCCTCCCTGGGTTGCCCACTACCTGGGACCTGAGGCATTCTGCACACTACAGCAGTGCTCTCTGTTCCCGTCAGCTCCAGGATGCGGCATTTTCATACAGAAATAAATGAGCCCAACAGCATCCACAACAAGAGGTCCAATAAGCCATTGGTGAGGCCTTCGTGTTATGAATCCACCTGCCACCAATACAGAGCAGGGTCGGCTATAGCAGATGGAGGCAGAATCCGCACAACTCAATGTAGGGCCGCCAGTGATGTATCCAGGCTTGAGCGGTGCCCCTCCTATGTGCAGACAGAAGCTGCACTCTGCCGGAATCTGTTCTCATGGTGGGTGGAGCTTCCGCTACCTTTCAGCTCAGGCTCATTTCCTCCTGACTCCTGAGTCTTAGCTCCACCTACTGGAGCAGTGGCGAGTATCCTTGACTTGGGAGTAGACTGAACCTCACTACTACCTATGAAAAGAAAATTTTTGAGAACTATTCAGAATGGGGGGGGGACAGGATAAGTGAGGTTCTCTTCAATTCTACTGACATTTTTTTGCTTTCCAAATCAGGAGGCAGTAGAAAACCTTTCAGAAAACGGGGCCTCATTCCTGGGAACTGGTGAGGCAGAGCCTACGGGGTCTACCCAAAGTTCTCAGAATGTCTGCGTGGTGAACTGGAGGTGTCTGGGAGAAACTGGGGCTCACTAGACAAAGGCTGAATTTATTAAACACACAGGGCTATTTATCCACATTACAAGTGAGCAAAAGGAAAAGACATGGAGACTGTCCTGTAAATATAGAAAATCAAAATCCAGGAACACCAAATGTAAGCCGTTTGTTCAGGGAAAAGGGAAGGAGTGGGTCCCCATCCCTTTTTGTGTCTGTCAGGGACAGAACAAAAAATATAAAGGAAAATGAAGCTGTGAAAGCCAGGCCCTGCCCTTCCTCTCCCGAGGTGGTTTCGTCTCCCCTGTTTCTGAATGAAGAGAACTATGTGTTTGAGGATGCGAGCTGCAGAACCCTGAGAGGGAGGCAATCAAAACTGGGGATATCGTCCAGGTTCTACACTTGGAATAAAGCTGTGCCCGTGGATGATGCTCAGAGAAAGGGATGTGGGGAGGAGTAGAGCCATGCTGTCAGGATTTGGAGGGGACCTCTAGGTCCTTCTGTGGATAGACTGTTTCAGTTTCCTTATATCTATTCCTCTTTCAAATGATTCATTTTTTTCCTTGCCCATACAGTGGCTTTGGAAGCCATGGAGTTATCTGGAGGAAGCACCCTATAAATGACGGGGTCCTCTGAACCTTTGCAATCACTGTCACTGGTCTATATCCTGGGACACTGTTGCTGGGGCTGCATAGCCGGTGCTTTTCTGAGCTCCTCTGAAGAAGTCTATCCAATCAGTATGTGGGCCCATCCTCTGTCCAGCCTCGGATTCCAGCCTGCAGAGATGGCCAGCAGTAGAAGAGATACAGAACCTACATTTAACTGTGCAAACAGAGGAACCTGACAGACATCTGCATAATTCTTACCAGGATCTGTGATGCAACCCAAGATCTGGGCCTTATTTTGAAGGGAAAGTCACGGACTACAGTGCATGAGACAGGAAGGATGGTCTGAGGTCAGGGCAGTCGTGGGCCAAAGGACAATAGGTGCCAATCTACTCTGCCCACCAGCCTCTTGATCCCAGCTGCCCCTGGCTGGGGACTGCACCTCTGTGTCCCCTGCAGCCACCACAAGAGCTTATCACCGGGCCACAGGTGAGTCAACAAGCCTGGAGAGACCAACTCCATGCCAAACTTCTGAGAGCAAGTAGAGCTTCAAACAGGGAATACTATTTCCTAAGAGCAGAGCGGTCTATTCTGCTGTTCTTGCCCGTTTAATTCCACAGGGATAAGTCACTAATTGATGGGAAAGCTAGACCGAGGAATTCCGGGACTCCTAGTCTGGCGACCTTCATGCATATGCCATGGCTCTACCACCACATTTGGGGCAGAGAGGGGACATGATCAGAACATGACATGGGGTCACTCAGCAAGTCATTCTGGGCTTCCAGCCCTGCCTTCCCATGACCAGCAGGAGACCAGGCTATCCTACAGGGCTGGTTTACACAGGGGAGGGACATGTCCAAAATGTGACTGCAGCCTGGGCCTCCCTCAGTTTCCAGCCAGGCTTTGAGTTCCAGGACCCATCCACAAGGACACAAGGATGCATCAAAACCCAAGAGCAGTCACAGCGACTCCCATCAGCACCGTTTTCCTAACTGAAGTGCATGTGTGTGCCTGCTTGTCTGTATGGGCCTGCACACCTGCAGTGTCTGCAGAGGCTTCAGATCCCTGCGACTGGAGTTACAGGCAACTGTGGGCCACCTGATATAAGTACCAGGAACCAAACCCAGGTTCTCAGTGAGTGCTTCTGATGACCCATTGTCCCAGCCCCCCCCCCACACACACATTCATCTTTGCACTCTGATAGAGCCTACCCAGGTTCTCCTTAGACATGCCGTCCAGACCTTCACATTCCCCACACAGAGACCTCTGAAGTCACTCCTAGGCCCCCCCCATGGACATTTAGTGACACCCACACAGAGAATCCCAAAGTTTCTCCTCAGCACCCCTCTTTCACACACCTCTGGAGTTCCCTGCAAACTTCACAGACCTCCACACAGAGTCCCCAGTGCCTCCATGGGGCTCTTCATAGACTCCCTCACAGACACGCTCACCTTGTCCTCTAAACTGGCCATAGATCTCCACAGAAGTGCCGAGAATTGTACAGTGCTCACATTGAGAACCCAGAGAGACTTCTGACCAACACAGAAACACCATGCAATAACACCTACAGCACATAGCAACAGTGCATGAGTTTCATGCAATAACACCTGCAGCACGCAGCAACAGTGCACGAGTTTCATGCAGTGATACCTGCAGCACACTGTAATAGTGCATAAACTTCATGCAATAACACCCGCAGCATACAGCAATAGTGCATGACTTTCATGCAATAACAACTGCAGCACACAACAACGGTACATGAGCTTCATGCAATTGCAATAACACTCACAGCACACACCAATAGTGTATGAGCTTGATGCAATAACACCTGCAGCACACAGCAATAGTGCATGATCTTCATGCAAGAACACCTGCACAACACAGCAATAGCGCATGAGCTTCAGAGTCCAGAGATCTCATAGAAACCCTTCCAGACATGCTCATGTCACCAGGCCAGCCACACTACACTGGAATATGCTAACGTGTCATCTAGAAAAGGTGGCCAACAGGGTCTCTTGATTCTGACTTCACTGGGTTCCAGAGATTTGCCCTCCTCTGCAGCAATGACATGGAAGCACTTGCTCCTTCCCTCAGGACCTGGACTCCCTCCCCTCTACCTACCCGCTCATTGTCCCATTCCTCAGCAATAGTCACATGACCCCAAGATGCCTCTCAGTTTGGGGACCCTTCTGAAGCTTTGGAGTAAGCAACCCACACACATCCCTCATGTTCCTGAGGTAAGCTGTTGAACATTTTACACACCATTTTCATTGTCGCAGAGAGCTCAGAGAAGCATACTCATGCTATGGGCACTGGGGTCCCTGGAGGGAGGTAAACTTTAGTGATTGGAAACTTCCCTTGCTTCAGCTACTAAATGGGGCAGGGCTGAGTGTTAACATTTCATGCGGGAAAAGGATTGCAAAACTGGGAACTCTGGGAGGTGTCTGGATCACTTTTTTCTCATTGCTTTTATTTTATTCATATATTCATAGATCGATGCTGCAACCAACCATCAGTGAAGCTTCCTCCTGCTGCAGCCAAAGTGACAAGATTAAGAGATAGATGTGAAGTGCTCAGCCCTAACTGAGACAGTCCTATCACCCCTCCAAGACTCCGGGAATGCGAACAAAGAGAGGCAAAGACATGCCTCTGGATATGGCATGACTTTAACACTCGTGAACTCACTTCATGCAGTCATCCACACAAGCCTGGGCTCCTCAACTCTTTATCATTGGTAGGGGAGTGGTCTATGAGACCCCATGGCCATCTGAGAGACTACTGGAAGGAACCATTGGTTGGAAAGGAATCATTTTCTTCAGTGATGTAGCCACTGTTAAGATGCCCTTGCTCAGGGGAACACTCCTCCATTGCTTCTGAAAGTGCAAACTTCATTGTCACTATGGAAACCAATACAGCAGCTGTTCAGAATCCTACCACAAGAACTCTTGCTCAACTATGTTCATTGCAGCTTGATTCATAATAATCAGAAATTGAAACAACCTAGACATCCCTCAACCAAAGAATGAATAAAGAAAATGTGGTACACTTATACAATGGAGTATTACTCAGCTGTTAAAAATGACATCATGAAAAGTGCAGGCAACGGGATGGAACTAGAAAAAAAATCCTGAGCAAGGCAACCCAGATTCAGTAACTCAAACATAATATATATTCACCTATAGGTGGGTATTAGCTTTTTAGTAAAAGATAACCACACTCTAATCCACAGACCCAGAGAGGCTAAGTAACAAGAGGGGCTCTAGTGAGGGGGTACATGGATCTCTCTAGGAATGGGAAATAAAAAGGATTCTGTGGGTGAACTTGGGGTAGGTGAGGATGAGAACAGGAAGAATCGAGTTGGGGAGAGACAGTACTGGGAGAGAGGATTGGAAATGGGGGCATTTGGTGGGCAATGTGGAAACTACCTGGAACCTATGAGGGTGACACTAGTGAGGACTCCTAGTAATGAAGATACAGAGCCTGAACTGTCCATCTTTGTAACCTGGGAAGGTTCCCAGGAGTGGGACTGGGACATAAACCCAGACGCAAACCCTTCAATCTATAGACTATCCTGCCTGTAAGATGTGCTGGGGTAATGGTGGCTCAGAGCTTGTGGGAGTG